ACTAAACCAGACTGATGAACAGAGAATTATGATTAACAGCAGAAATATTACTACTCCTGTAGTTTGGCCTTCAGGATCTTTGGCCTTGGATAAACCAGAAAGATGAACAGAGAATTATGATTTAATTTGTATTAGTTGAATTGTATGTATCTCTGAAATCTAAAAAAAAAAAAAACTAAGCTGTGTAGTCATAAAACCATTTACAGAACCTTCTGTGGTGAAGCTGATTATATGTAAAAGCAGCCTGCCGTACATGCTGCTGGACTGACCTGCTGCTGCTGCGCTCCCAGAACCCGACTGCAAGACGACTTTACTACTGAGACTGAAGAGCAACCATCCACATTTCATTTCCACAGTTAACAACAAAAAAGTTTTTCTGACTCTAGTTTGAAAAAAAAAAAAAACACAGTTGATTCACCAGGAAGTGTGTTTGTGTGTGCGCATGTTTTTGCTTCACGGAGGGGACAATTGGAAAGTCCCCATGAGGATAGAAGAACAAGTGTGTGCTGACGTGCTAAAATGTTAGGTGTTCCCTAAATTTTGGACGTCTTCTGGTTTATTTGACAAAGTGTTTGTTTGTTAAACTTTACGCTCATTTTATTTATTTAACATCAAATATCCCTTTGATCAGTTACGATGTCTGTTAGCTTCAAGGTTAGCCCTCAGGTGGACACGCTTCAGACCTGCTGGGATTCACCTCTGAGGCTTTTGATGAAGATGATGCTGATGGTCTGTCCGTCTCCTTGCAGATATGAGGAAGGCTCTGTCCAGAGACACAGAGAAGAAGTCCATCGTCCCCCTGCCCCACCCTGTCAGACCTGAGGACATTGAATAACAGACCGTGGCTCTCTGACCTGCTGACCTCTTCATCTTCATCATCATCATCGGATGGTCATGTGACGGCAGGCAGAGAGCCACAGGATGAAGCTGGAAGCTTGGAGTTTCTCTAAATATTCAGGAACATTTGTTCAAACAGGAGCTGCTAAAAAAAAAAAACACCTGGATTCTTCAGGTAACCTGAGGGTCTGCAACCTGTGGTCCTGGTCCACTCGTAGCTGGGACCAAAAAGAAAGACAACATAAATATTTGTATTGAAAGTTACAATAAAACCCAGTTTTCTCAGATTTGATCGGTTTGATTTGTTGATTGATCCATTTGATGGTGAAACCTGGAGCTTCCTGGACTCGACGGTCAGCTTTTAACTCGTCTATATGAACTGTCATTGAGCTGGTGTGGTTTAGTTAGCTCTGACACTGAAATCGACTCATTTGTTTTAACCGCAGATACTGCCTGACCAACAGACTTTTATTCTTTTTTTATGGCCATTTAATGGAAAAATAATTAGGAAATAAATGAAGTCTAACATTTTAAAGCATGTAGATAGATAAATCACTTTCCCCTCCTTCCTGCTGGTTGATGAGCCACGAGAAAAACTTTAAAATGATTTGTTTTTTTAGTCAGGACGGTGAACAGCTGACATGTTTAACTAAAGCAAGTTTGAGCTTTTTATTGGAATTGTGTCAAATCAAGAAAAACCTGAGAGCAGAAGTCAGCTCATTCAACTATTCTATCAAAAATGCAATAAATATCTAATAAAGTAGTTAAAACTAGGGCTGCCACAAACGATTATTTTTATAATCGATTAATCACCAATTTTTTTTTCGATTAGTCGACTAATCAGATCATAGGTTAATTGAATATAAAACTTGGAGCTTATCGTGCCAGAATGCAGCTGCTATTATATAACCATGGTTAGATTTTAGCTATATGCTAACTAAAAATAATTGTGGAAGGTAAGTTCTGCTCTGCAGATATTACACAGGTTTCTCTTTCATTTTCTTAAAATGATCCCACACTTTGAGCTCCGTTGTCAGGTAGCCATGATACCAGAGCCTGTCTGTATAATGTCTTGTGACGTCCACGGCCTACCCCAGTTACCACTACTGTGCATGTGTGTCAAGGACAGAAAGGTAGATGTGGCAGTGGAAGGTATCAAAGCAGTTTGGAGAGAAAAACAAAGAACAAAAAAAAATATGATTAATCGATTATTAAATTAGTCATCAATTATTTTAATAATCGATTAGTCGTCGATTAATCGTTGCAGCTCTAGTTAAAACCCTTTTTATTGGCTGTTAAATATTTTCATTAGATAACTGGATCACTTGCATTGAAACAAACTTACCAAATCTAGTTTAACCAGTATACGGTTTTCATATTTATCAAAGTTTGAACATCTTTGATTCTTTTTTTTTGTAACATATCCCTTGTTATCATGTAAATGGAGGAATGGTCTCAAAGCCCCACAGGTTAGTGTTCGAGTGATGTTAGAGTGAGCCTGTATCTGCTGCTCTGTGTACTCCTGCTGCTGGCCTTTATGTAGTAAACACAGCAGATTTGATGACTGAGTAAATAAAGCAAAGGTCAGGTTAACAGCATGGCTCCACAGACACATGTAGATTACCTCTGAATCACCTGATGTTAAAAACAACACTTTCATCTGTCTGAACTGTTCCTTTTATTATTTCTGAGAAACAATAATCAGTAGAAAATATTTAAAAAAAACCCAAAAAGCTGAAGAAAGTCTCTGAGTCTAATCCTTGTTCTCGTCACTGCTGACTTTTGATTTCTCCTCCTCCTCCTCCTCCTCCTCACTGCTGCTGCTGTCATCGTCATCATCTCGGTCATCAAACGTGTTGGGTTCAGTCTCTGTGGTTCTGCTGGGACTGTCAGGAGGAGCAGATGAGGAAGAGGAAGAGTCTTCAGGTGTGGCAGGTTTTTCTGGAGGCTCCTCCTCATCGTCCTGCACCTGCTGCCTCTTCCACATCTTGGCCATGGCCAGCAGCTTCAGGTTGGGCTGGTTGGCAGCGTCCTCCGGGAAGATGTAGTCGTAATATTCCTCCCAGCCGGCGTCCGACTGATGGATCAGAAAAAATATTAGATTAAAGAGCCAAACACCTGTATGACATCATCAGATTAAAGAATCTAAACACCTGGATGACAGATTAAAGAGCCTAAACACCTGTATGACATCATCAGATTAAAGAGCCTAAACACCTGGATGACATCATCAGATTAAAGAGCCTAAACACCTGGATGACATCATCAGATTAAAGAGTCCAAAAGCCTGGATGACATCATCAGATTAAAGAGCCTAAACACCTGGATGACATCATCAGATTAAAGAGCCTAAAAGCCTGGATGACATCATCAGATTAAAGGGCCTAAACACATGGATGACATCATTCGATTAAAGGGCCTAAACACATGGATGACATCATCAGATTAAAGGGCCTAAACACATGGATGACATCATTCGATTAAAGGGCCTAAACACCTGGATGACATCATCAGTCTGGAACCAGCTGGAGAGTTCTGCCAGACCTGGAGCAGTAAAAGAGGTCTTACCCCATCTTCAGCCGTCAGCTTCCTCCTCTTCTTCACCTTCTCTGGCAGCAGCTTCCTGACCCGTTCTCTGGTGCTGTCAGAACCAAACTCCTTCTCAAAGTCCCTCCAGGACTCGAGGAGCATGAGGCGCTCCTCCTTCTCCTCACAGCTCCTCATGCTCTTGTTGGCCTCCTCGTAGATCTGCCGGCACCTCTGCAGACGGTCTGCTTCCTCGATGGACATCTCAAACTTGGCAAAACTGATCCAAACCTGCAGGAGCAGAAGATGGTTATGGTCCTGGTCCTGGTCTGGTCCAGTTGGGTCTGTGAGGACCTCCTGACCTGATAGTCCTGCTCACCTTGACGTGTTGTGTGCGCTGCAGCAGCCTCCTGTACAGGTTCCTGGTGTTTTCAAACTCCTCCTGCTCAATCTCAAAGTCAATGTAGGACTTCCACAAGACCTGAGGGGACACAAGGACACAGACTGAGTCCACAGGACCTGAGGGGACACAAGGACACAGACTGAGTCCACAGGACCTGAGGGGACACAAGGACACAGACTGAGTCCACAGGACCTGAAGGGACACAAGGACACAGACTGAGTCCACAGGACCTGAAGGGACACAAGGACACAGACTGAGTCCAC